ATTCAAAAAATACTCACATACCATTCTTTTTTTGGATCTATAATAGTTGCATATGATTCATCGGGTAACATAATTAATAAATTAGGTTCGATTGATCAACCATGGCAAATCCAAGCAACTATTATTGGACAACCAAATATGGTTCTTATTGGTGCTATTGCCAATTATTCAAATGGTCATACACAATTTACATCATTTGCGTTTCCATATATGGGAACTTATCAAGTTCAATTTTCTTTCGTTTTATCAAATGGTCTTAGCAGGTATTTTCAAGACGAATTCAATTTCAATATTCATAATAAAAATTCTTTTATTTTCAGTTCATTTGTAACAACAAGTAGTTTAATAATAAATTCACCATCTGTATCAGTGACTCGTGCAACATTATCAGGAACACAAATAAATCCAATATCTGTTGTATCAATTAATGAAACATTCAATATATCAGTTGTTATTGTTGATAGGATTTCTCTTTATCCAATTAGTAATATAACATGGAGAAATTTAATTTGGTCTGCAAGTATTTCACTCTATGAACTATCGGAATATAATCCTCAAGGTTCATTAATTAAAAGTTCATCATCAATGATAATTATTGATACAAATACAGGAATAATAACAGGAACAAATTTAGCTATTAATCAAACTGGAATGTATATATTGAATATTATTGTAACATCATCGAATGGAGAATATTCATTTGAAATTACAACAAGTGGAATTTTAGTTAAACAAAGCGATAGTAAATAATAAAAGATTTTGTAATATTTTTCTTTTAAAATTTATTTTTTCAGGTACACTTATAGTAGATGTAGGTACTCCTGTATCATATATTCGATTTACTGGTGATTTTGATATGTTAAATTCAACTGGAATGTTAGAAATAAAACGAGCAATTATTTATAATTATTTAATTAGTATTCGATTACCTATTATTAGTGATTCAACTATTTACAAAGGTAAATTGAATATTGTATTCAAAAATAAAATTATCTATTTTTTAACTCATTAGGAAGTGTTATGTCTTCATTTGTCGTTGATTCAGTACCAGAGAATGCATCCTATGCTGTACAACAAGCGCAATCTAATAATCAACCTATATCAGATCTAGTGACGACAGAACTTGTTATTAATAGTCAGTCATTTATTATTCCATCTAGTGGAAGTTCGACATCAAAAACAGGCTTAATTGTTGGAGTTACTGTGGGTCTTGCCGCTGGATTAGGTGTCATACTTGCTGTAATCTATGCTTCTCATAAATTTAATAAACGATTTAAACATCGTCGTTTAATAAATGATACTGAAATGAACAATAGATCAAATGGCCCAGAAAATGATTCATTAACTTCACCTGAAACATCCGGATTACAATCAACACCAATCAGCAATCCTTCATTACCAACGGAAACAACACGACTTCCATCTGCTGTTAGTGTTACTACACTTAATGTAACAGAAACAATTAAATCAATGACTCCTGTTCAACATATTTGATGACACTTATTCTCTCCGTTTTATTTACTTATAGTTAGTTTCCTATTGAACTTTTTTTCCTTATTTTGTATTCCCTCATAATTCCAATAAATCATTTAAATTTTGCTGTGTTCATATCACACAATGCGATGCATTATATAGAAGAATAAGAAAGAGAAAGAAAAGAGAAGGATAAGGACACACATAGACAATACAAATAATGGGGATTCTTTCATACGAAGGATATCAAACAAGGTTAATATCATGCAAGAGCGGTGTATCTATTTGACACAATTACTTGATACACTAGTGTAAATTCATTAATTTTCGTAATCCTATACGGGATGCAACACACACACACTTTTCAATGATGATATTAATGTGAATAAAGATGAATTTATTTCTGAAAGTAAAATATAGTTCGTTTCTTTACAATGAAGTTTATTTAACGAGAACCAGTTTGATCTTTTACTGATTGAACGATTGGAATTATTTCGACTTGTGAGCTTGACAAAATTTGCTCGGGACCCCAATGAACTATACCTCGAAAATGAGTCGGATCAACATGAGGTAAATTGGCTCCTATTCGGTAATTACCATTTGTGTCAATATTCGGCAAAGGAATACCTGTTGGAGGAACATTTCCTACACCAGGAACTTAATAAAAAAAGATACTTTTTATTATTATTATTTTGAAAATCAAAAATAAATTTACGAAGTATTACCTGAATCATATCCACCCGCAAAACCACTGAAAATAGCATTATTCAGATTAGTACTATCGTTTTCCATGGGGGTTATTTATTAATATTGATATATAACTATGAAGATAAAAATGATCAAATGTATATATAATTTTTGTTCGATTGCTTATATTTATAGGAGATATATCTTTTCTCTTTCGTTATGCTTCATTTCACCAAAGATGAAAAATAAGAAATATTATTCAATGAAAAAAAAGAACACGTGAAGCTTTTTGGGCGTAGTCTCTAATAATTCTATCATTTAATAGACGCAAAAGTTTCTTTTACAACAAGGTGAGATATATAGAAATGAGTCATATAAATTCAAAGAAATAATTTATCAAACACAGAATAGAATAATTCAAAAAGTTTATCTGTCTTCACTTTATTTCTTTTCAATATAAATTCATTAAATAATCTATTTACTTTAACGAAATACGATAGATGTTATTTAAAGAGATTTTTTGAAACGAACAAAATTAATTGTGACTTCTGAATATTATTCTGACTATTCCTGATAAGATTTAACCTCTTGATTACGAGTTTTTTTTATAAGATGAATTTTCTTTTTTTTCATTTCAAAACAACACATTGATAATCGCCAAATAGAATAGTTTTTTTTATGTTTCACTTTGAATAGTAATACAACAAACGCTTTGATATAATTAAAAGTAAGAAAATCCTACCATCATTTG